CATCCACTGGGGTGCTCTTCATAAGCCTGAGGTCCAGGCCACATTGCCCACACATTAAATCAAGTCTGAGAACCACTGCTCTCATACCTTTCCTGGCACCAGTGTTTGAGATCAGGGGAGTAGAAGGAGGAACTGTCCCTTAGGACAGAGAGATGAGTAAGTGGAGGTATGCGGGGCACTGAGGGGACACCTCCAAAGTTGAGAAGCTGACACAGCCACTACCATGAAGAAAAGAAGCTTAGAGATCTTGTCCTTCAATAACCCAACTTCACCTTTGGGTTCTCCCTCTTCCATATAAGGGAACTACAGACTGCTGGAACCTTACAGGAACGCTAAGACCATCTATCTCATCCCGCTTCATCACACACCTGTGGAGGCTGAGGCCTGAGGAAAGACAGCGAAAGAGCGAATGGTTAGGGCCATTGCAAGTTTAATGGCAGGGCAGGATTAGAACCCATTTCTTCTAACTCTCAGTCCAAGACCTTCCAGCTGTTATATGCTGAACACAGCAACATGGCTTTGTGCTTAAGAGCACAAGCTCTGGCACAAGAGTGCCTGGGTGAGAGCACCTGTTCCACGGGTTACCTGTCACACGGGGCCAGTCATCTAATTCCCTGCAGCTTCCATGTTCTCCCCTAGAAAGTGGAAATAATAATGGCATCTCCATCCAAGAGTTGTGAAGACTACAGGGAAGGACAGGAATAGCAATGCACCTAGCACAGAGCCTGGCACACAGTTCGTGTGCAATGTTAGCCATTCTTATTAAGGTCAGGGTAGCACCCTGAAGAGAGGAAAAGAAAGAATAGGTATGGTTATCTGGGCTGAGGTTGATGCTCAAAATGTTCTAGCAGCTTCAAGGTATTATTATTTTGCTTTCAAAGACTTCTCAAGTATAGGCAATTCTGAGCCAGAACCAGCTTTGACATAAGCTCTGACCTAAAGGATGTCAGAACCTCTAAGCATCCTTGCCTATCAAACTAGCTACCTATCAAATAAATAACCATGAAACTGCTCTGCATGCTGAAAAGTGCCATACAAATGAAGAGATGTGTATTATTACTCTTAATGATACTGTCATCACTGTACCGTCCATCTCAGCCAGTTTGAACTTTAACATATCCCTTGTAAGGCCATATTACAGAGTAGGAAACAAGGATGCAGGATAAGGTCACTTACAGAAATCCTAACATTTAGTCAGAATATTAAAATACAAAGAAAGCTAAGAAGTATGGAGGGAAAAACAAGATCAGTCTCAGCTCTGGTAGCCCCCAAAAGACTGAAACTCACTTGAAATGCCCAGTGACCAGGGAGAGATAATGGTAAGCCTAATCAAATGAGTAAGACCCTCAACCCAGACCTTACTGGGTCGGGATGTACCTTTCACAAGAGGCAGTGGCATGTTTGTTGCAGAGGATTTGGTAACCACCAAAATCCTTTTCTAAAAACAGAATGAAATTCAATTTCTTATTTCTTGGATTAATCAAAATGAGTGATGAGGATAGGGTTCGGGAGTCAGGAGAGGGATTTTCTCGTTTTTGTAAATTACAGGCATTTTTAAGGTGCTTTGTTATGAGCACATTTTTTTAATTTTAGAAAAGGAAGAAAGGGGAAGAGGAAGGGAGTAAGAGAACGGTTCAAGAATTACAGGAATAGGGCGCCTGGGTGGCTCAGTTGGTTAAGCGACTGCCTTCGGCTCAGGTCATGATCCTGGAGAACCGGGATCGAGTCCCGCATCGGGCTCCCTGCTCGGCGGGGAGTCTGCTTCTCCCTCTGACCCTCTTCCCTCTCGTGCTCTCTATCTCTCATTCTCTCTCTAATAAATAAATAAAATCTTTAAAAAAAAAAAAAAGAATTACAGGAATAGAAAATCCAGTATCTATCTATTCACGAATGCTCTATAGCAGGCTGCGGGGCTTCTGGACGACCTACCCCTGAAGAGTCAAAAAACTGGGGAAACAGATGCCTCCCCAGAGCTATCTAAGTGGATCCCCAGACAGGCTGGGCTATGGGGCAGAGGTCCCACTAAGGTCTAGTCATTGCTGTTTCCTCTCCCCTGGTCAGCCCTGCTCCACCTTTCACCTCCAGCATCTGCTCAGGTCACCTAAGTCCATCTCGGCCAGATACCTAAGAAATGTAATCCTACACAGTAATCGTATCTTCCTGTTTACATTGTGTCACATTCTTGGCCTTTAAAAAAAGTAAAAGAAAAAACCCCCTACTTCAGATGCAAGGCCTTCCCTACTACATGTAGACATTGCCATCCTCAAAATTCCTTTCTTGACAGGGATCTACAGGCTAGGGTGGACAAACACTGCCACCTCAGGTCTGTTCCTGGACATGTACCCCTTCCTCTGACTCCTCCAGCCTTTTTTCCTCTTGCACACTGTAAGCAGCGCAAGATGTGGTGATCTGCTCTACAGTGCCCAGGTCTGGTCTGGCCTAAGCCCTTCACTCCCCACAGTGCTCAGTCCAAACAACAAACACCCCAGGGAGGAGGTGCTGAACTGCAGTAAAAGCCAAATGGGAAAGAAAAGGACTGTGGACTGCAGAATAGGTGCTAAAGAAATCTATCTGTACGATGTAAATGATACTGCCCTGAAATGCCAATTTAGTTAAACCATAAAGGAAGATTCACAGAGACTCCTTTCAGCAGAGGTCACTTACGTTTCTTGAATCTCTCTCAAGTACGACTACCTCTGTACCTGTATTCCTCGGCAGACCTGTCAAATCTTTCCAGCTATAAAGAGCTAACAGTCTTTACCTCACCAGAGAGGCACTGAGGAAATAAAACCAGAGTTTATATGAAAATGCTTTGGGAATCAATCTCTCCCCCGTGCTCTTTCTCTCTCACTCTCAATGCAAGGCAGTTCGCAAGCCCAGCCACCTAGCTTAGAATATGATCCTGGGCTTATGGCAAATCTTTTTAAAGTTAAACAGAAAAAGTCAAATGTTCAGTCTTTACCAGACTAAACTAATTATCACCTAAAAGACACTAAATGTTCAGCTGCTTTCTATCCAGGTGTTAGGGGAAAGAGACTGGAACTCCTTGTGAATTTTCTTGAGAGACTAACCTATCTGTCCAAGCTAATCACAGAATATGCTTTAGGATTCTATGAAAGAGAATTCTCTTAAGGTGAACTCCTTTAAAAGCAGGAAACCAACAGCTGCCCAATCTTCTTCACATCGCTGCTGGGCAGGAAAATACAGCGGCGCACCGTACACACAGTCCCCACGGTAAGCTATCATGAAAGTTTTCACTTCCTCTGAAAATGCTCCCACCTGCAGCCTCCTATTCTCTGCCCCCTCCAGACCACTACCTCCTATCTGCTAAAGGGAATGTGAGGAAAAGACGCCTCGGGGGTCACTAAAGCCTACCTTTTGAGCGTCCAACCCAATGGGAAACCACCTCCATCTCCACTCCTGACAGGGCTGCTAGAAATCATGAGAGCCAAATCAGCAGGATCACAGTGAAGCCAGGACTTCCAGCTGCACAGAATTACTCTTCAGGCTTGGGGAGCACAGCTAACTACACACACCACTCTCCCTCCCGTCCCCCATCCTGTTACCTCTGTACTTGGGACGTGGCGCCAAAGGCTCAGCCTGGAATGCTGCAGGGTCTCCAGTATCTCATGGTCGAGTAAAACATCTCCCCACATAGCCCGGCTCACCCAGGCAAGGAAAGACACTTGGCTGGCTTAGAGAAAAGGCTTTCTCATACCTTCATCCTCATGTTGAACAAATGTGTCATCCTTCAAAAACAGAGATAAACCCAGACCTCTCCAAGAAAAGCCCTGAAGGAATCAAAGCCCAGGTTCTCTAGCCTGTGTGGACTGTAACCATGCTGTGACTCAACCCCTTCAGGCATTCAGAATTCAGTCTGGCAGCTGGAGGAGACACTGGCTATCCTTACATCCACCATCCACTTCCAAGCCAGGGCTGTGTCAGCAAGATACTACTTTCATTTAATAACAACATATAACTGAAACTTAGAATCTAAGCCTTTCTTTAATCTGAACTTCTAGTCTTCTAATTATTTTAAGAAAGATCTGAATATTTGCTATTGTAGGATCTTCCCATTTCCTAAATTTATCCTTTCAGCTGCTAAGGATCACCTAATGGATTTAAAGAACAAGTTTGTATCCTTCCTAAGCAAAATGAAGAAAGAAAAACACAACAACAAAACAACCCTCATCTCTTCAGTCTAACCCAAACAGCAGCCCCACCTTGCCCTGGACATTTCATAAAATGGAAAAACACGGGACTGAGCGTCAAGGCGTGTACTCTAAGACTAGCTCTGCCGCAAACCACTCTGTGACCCCGAGCTCGTGGCTGCACTTCTCTGGGTCTCAGCTGCTTCTCTGAAATAATACAGGAAAGCTGGATTCACGATGCTAGGTAGCTCTGACTCTTAGAGTTCCCTTCCTTTCCAGGAACTTTCAGCTACATGTTCAAGACACAGCCGCCTGTTTAAGATGCCATGCACCCAGTTCCATTTAAAATTCCAATGAATTATCCACAAACAGTTTACGTTCACCCTGCACATCGTATTTTTCCAAATCCTGCTGGCCCGCTGGAGAGACCTATGTAATAATATTTGTAAGGCACGATTTGTTCTAAGAGATTTACATAGGTTGAACCATATGAAGCTGCCAACATTCAAACATTTTTACCACACGGAAACAGCAATTTCCTATGGTTTGAACCACCACATTAACTTACTTATTCCTCCTTATAATCCCCATGAGGCAGGTTTTACAAATGAGGAAACAGGAGCACTTTAAAGAAGTTAATAACTTGCCACAGTCACATACATAGCTAAGAGATGATAGGGTTTGGATTTAAACCTGGGCAGCTGAGCTCCTGAGCCTATGGTCCTACCCTAATGTTATATGGCCTCCCATAATGGGAGTAAGAACAGCCTGAAGACTGGGAGTCCAGACCAAGGTAGTGTCTCAGAAGGACAGGGAGAGGCTCGCACTGCAGCCTCTGTTGGGTTGTACCTTTCACTTCAATGGTGGCATTTGCTTTAGGAGCACTGACAAAGTGATATACACAGTGGTATTCGCCTGAATCCTCAGCTCTCGGCTTATTGATCCTGCAGGGATGAGAAAAAAAAAAAAATCAAGTGAGGAAGCTGGGAACAAACATACGACAAAATATACAACAAAAGAATCAAAAGGGCAACCAGGGACTCTGCTCTCCAAACTGTGTCCCTGAATGCAACTCACCTCCTCCTAACTAAAAGCAAAAACCTCCCTCTATGTATTACAAAACATTAATGCTTCACTCCTTACTGGATGTCTGGAATACAAAGATGGAATGATACATGGTCTCTCACCTTAAACAAGTAATCAAAAGAGAGGGCTGTACAAAACAGACTATATTTAGATACAGAGGATGGAGCCATCAATAAAAACTTCTTGCTCACCTGGTGGTTCTAGTCGAATAAGTAAGAGCAGGAAAAAAAGCAAATCCTCTGTGCTTCCCTCAAGACCCTGTTTTGGTCTTGTTCTTCCCACACTGTATTTCAGTAGCATGCCTTTCAGTAAATCTACTCACTAACAGGACCAAAGAGATAGTGGAGAGAGAAAAAATCTCTGACAGAGCACCAGCCACAAAGATGCAACTAAATTTTTAAGACTTTTAAGTACAGGGACGCCTGGGTGGCTCAGTCGGTTAAGTGTCTGCCTTTGGCTCAGTTCATGATTCCAGAGTCCTGGGATCCAGTCCAGCATCAGGCTCCTTGCTCAGCAGGGAGCCTGCTTCTCCCTCTGCCTGCCGCTCCCCCTGCTTGTGCACGTGCTCTCTGACAAATAAAAACTTAAAAAAAAAAAAAGAATTTAAATATAGCTAGAACTCTAAGGCCCTGCATGATCTGCTTCCTACCCTCATCTCAGCCACTTTCTAGCCCTGCTGGGCTCTTCTCAGTTTTTCAATGTTTTTCCTCAAAACCTTGACACGAGATGTTCCTTTACAGAGAATGCTCTTCCCATTACCCTTACCTTAACCTAACTCTTTCTGCATCAGTCTTGGCTCACACCACTTCTTTCTACCCTCAATCTAAGTGACAGCCCCCCCCCGACATTCTTGCTTATTCTACACTGTAATTCTTCACAAGCATTCATCGCAACGTGTAATTATATACTTATGTGATTGCTTGATGAATGTCCCAGTTTCCCAAAAGACCAAGTTCTATGTGGACAGGCACTGTTTATCTGGTGCATAATTCTATACCCAGCACGTGGCCTGGCCTGGAATATAGCAGGGGTAATGAATAAACGAGTAAATGACTGAATGAATGTAAACTGAGAGTGAACAGCTGTGCAGAGATCCTGATCAAGTAAAGCAGAGTGACAAGGAGGACTATAGGAAGTGTGTATGGCTAGAACAGCACTCCTCTGAACTCCACAGGGTGATCCTAAACAAGCTTTCTTGCCCCTGACAACCAGTTTCACACCAGCTCAGTACAGCATGGCCTAGACACACACCCCAAAACATATGCAGACAGGCTGGTGTGTAATTACCAAAAAGAGAGAAATCCACATCAGCGGAAAACCATTATTTAGCTTCTCCTCTTTTGGCTCAGTGGTTAAAACATACTTGTGATGGTCACATCTCCATTGCACTAGTTAATGTCTGAGAAAAACCCCTAACCTTGACCACTGACTGGCCCAATATATTTATCCATCTTACTGTTCATCCCAAGAAAGAAACACGGGTTTCTTTCAGACTATGGATGAGGAGAGAGACAGCCCATCCCTAGGACTGTCTCAGCATACCCACAGCAGAATATTCTAAAAGGAAAAGCCAAAAGTCTTCTAAATTTGATACAAGTAGCTCTTAAATCAATACACTCCCAACAGGGAAAAGGGACACAAGTCAGCTGCTCTTAGCAAATGTTCCAGAGTTCGGAGGAGGGGCAGCAGCTGTATCTTTAGGGCTCAGACTAACTCCTTTTAAGTTCCTTGAAAAGATTTGGAAAGAGGACTCCCAAGCTTGAGCCCATGCCTATGGGCTCAAAATCTCCCCCATGACATTCCCTTCAACTAGCTATTGGGAAGCAACTGAAGCAAATGGAAACCATCCCCTATAGCCGAGCAGGTGCAGGATCTGAGACTGGCTCCATAGCTGACTTAATAGGTAGCCCAAGGGACTCATCAGCTGTTCTTTCACAAAATGTGGGAGAACAGAGATTCCCTGAAAAACTCTGACAATGCAGAACACCCCTAGAGAGCTGCTAATAAGCTGACCAAAAAAAGAAAGAAGAAGAAGAGGAGGAAGAGGCAGTATTTTATAAAGTCAAGCTCAAATTTATTAAGTTACAGTTCAAAGCCCTGTAGATGACATAGTACAAGTCCGAGGAGAAACACAACTGAATGCCTGGTACCTTGAAAGAGTTATTATAAAAATATAAACTTGTAAAACTAACAAACAGACCCAAGAATATATGCCTTTCATTCCACCCAATAGTTCTATGTGATTAACCTTTTCCAAACTATGAGAATATAGCTGAGGTTATGTTTCCAATTTAACATCAGAAGAAACTACAGTGGAGATAGATTAACTTGCCACTAAAATGGTATGTTAAAGCAGGTGGGGGAAAGACCTAGCTTCTAGAAAGTCAAAAGACCTGGAACCTAGCCTTACTTCTGAAATTTGCTAGATACAATATTTGGCCTTGAAAACAGTGAAGAATTATTACTCTTTGAGTTTCCATTTCTTTGCTTTAAAAAAGGAGGATCCTTAATGTGGGTCAATTAAATAAGGGGTGTGAAAAGATCTCAATCTTGCAAAATACTGCAGAATGTCCTTGCTACTACTGGGCACACAGGTTTTCCTGGTCTCACTCCAGTGCATTCTTTCGTTGCACTGCAAAGCTGACAAACATCATTAGCCGATCCTTTTCCAAATTAGTTTTCAACCACAAACAAACAATTCTGAAAGGTGAGGTGCCATGTGTTCTAGATATTCCAAAAAAGTACCAAAGCTTTGGGTGCCAGGTTAGCTTCAGCCAGCAAATATACCCCTTTCATCAAACGATGTTTCCAGGTTACTATCCTTAATCCAGATCACTAAAGAGCCCCGTATCCACTGGTCTTGATCAGGTTCTGGTCCTGTTAATTACTCCTAAAAGGTAACTCACTAGGAAATCTACCCAGTAGAAAGATCACTTAGGGTGCTCTTGCTCTAAGAGTCCTAAAGCAGATTTCAATCTGATTCCTCAAACCACTGGATTAAGTCGAGACATGCATTCTAATTGTGACTTTCCTACTGACGAGCATGGTTACTCTGAGCAAACTACTCCCTATGCCCTCCGTTTCTCTATTATCATAGTGAGGGGAACATCTATGACTCTCAAACCTGGCTGTTCATTAGAATCCTCTGGAAATCTTTACTAGATCCCTGGGCCTCACCCCAGACATACTGGATTAGACTCTCCGGAGAAGGACCATATATATCTTATGTATCTCCCACATAACAGAACTGTGGATTACGAACGTCCATAGTAAGTTCAGCAATGCTCCCTCCCATCTTCCCAGGAGCTGCTAGTCCCTCTCACCTGTATTCCATGTTGCTGGCATTCTTGCGAGTGGCAGTCAGTTCGACCCCATTCTTTGTCCAGTAGCTGTATGTAAGAGTGTGAGAGCTGGAGGTGAGGTTACACTGCAGGGTGATGGGGAGAACAGGGCTGTCTCGAAGAATGACCTCTTCACTGGTGACAATCCTTGGCTCTGTAATAAGAGTGCACAGTGACAGGGAGCCATAGCCTTCCATTCTCTGTAGCCCTGGCCTGAGAATTGGATGGGGTAGGATGGGGAGACTAGAAGAAGAGGGAGGGCAGACAGGACCACATGAGGAATTTCACTTTACCACTTTGGAGGAAGTCAAGAAAGGAAAAACAATGATTATAAGCAAATGACCACTAGCGCAGACAACAGCCTGAAGACCAGTTGGCCTAGACGTGAAAAGAATGGGAGTATTACAGGTACTTGTACTGGCAACAATCCACTTACACTTTTGAACACCACAGTTTTATGATTTAAGAACCACCAACCAATTCAGCTTCAATTAGAAAATCAGGCTCCACCTTGCAGTTCTGAAGACAAAGGCAGTATCATTTATGTAACTAATAAACTCCCTATGGAGTCACTAAGCCTTGGAACAGTAATAGCTATAATTAGATAATACATGTATGGCTTTTCCCACATTAAATTCTGATAAACCTATGGCAAACCAGCCATGGTCATTAATTATGCAGAAAAAGACAGTGTCGATCCTAACAGCAAATTTCCTGCCAGTAGTCTGTTGCATTTTCCAAATTTTGCCAAGGGAAAATTCTTAAGGAACCATCACAGTTCTCTCCAGCCCGTATTTATTCCCAAAACAAAACTTTTTCAGAATTGCTAAGTAAAACACATTCCACTGTGCAGATAATATAACTAGAATGCGATATGTGTTGGTATCATGTGTTCCTAGTGTTTTAGAGCTAAAAGGCCCTTAGAGTTCACCGAATCCCCACTCTTTAAGAGCTAGAAACGGAAAATGACTTGTGCAAGTCATGACTTAATGGCAACACTGGGCCTAGAACACACATCTAACTGAATTCTCTAGCTCTGCCTCCCTTCCCCACCTCCAACCCCCCCCCCCACCCCGCCACTTTCCGCCCTACAGCAAGTTACATAATTCATCTTCTGGTTCTCTCCTGGGCTTAGATAACCTGGGGTCATTATTTTAGAACCTACGAAAATAACCTACTTGACTCAAATATTAGAACACATTGAGCAGAAATGTTTTAAGGCACACACTAGCATTCCTGGAAGGTTCATCCTTAAAGCCCTTTGAATTCCACCACTATATTAAAGATGTTTGCCGTCTTGTTGTTATCGTTACTTCTAACCTTTTCCCAAGCTCAGCTGTTATTCTACTTTTGGTCAGACATTTTCAGGTGAAGTCTAAACTTTTCCCAAACACAATTAGAGGTACTTCCTCTTTTATTCTTTTTCCAATTGTTTCTCAGAAACTCTTGACTAACTTCCCATTTCCCTGCACCTGGCAACTCTGTAGCAGCAACCTGACACCATTTTATGTAGTACGGTGCTGACTCTTAACTCTTGAGGACAGAACTCTCTCCCTCCACTGGAGCTAAGCTTTGTTCCCTGTGCAGGGAGGGGGACAGAATGGAGAAGTCATGGGACACTTGCAAAATATAATGCCCAAGGACCTCCTAATCAATGCAACATTTCTGACTGTAGAGCTCATATCAAAGAAAACTGCCAAATAAAGCAAATCCTCAAGTCTGTTCAATTAAAGGGGTTCTCACTATTTTCCAATTCTGGCAAAGGGATAGTGCTTATCTTCCATTCAGCACTGGTCCTTACTGGTAACATCAAACAGGGTCTCTATGTACAGATAATGGAGGCATAGCAGCCACTAAGACAAAAGCAGATGCATGGAAACACGTTAGCGCAGTGGTGTCCCATGGTTTCCAAAACACACTGGACAGAAGCCAAATCCCTGGGCCTTAAGTCGAGCAGAACGGCTGCAAACCCTGCAATGGAAGGCGCACACACACCATCAGCAGAAAGCACCACAATTCCAAGAAAAATCAAAACCAAGCAAAAACAAAAGAGAGAACCAATACTCCACAGAAATTAAAAATATAAAGGCAACATCAAAACCCAAACACACTTTTAAGTTTTTACTAACTTTTTATTATCCAATTTTACTTTCTGTCCCACGTGGGACTCTCCTGGTTCTTCTTCTCAGACTGCACTGAGAAATGGTAAACTCTGAGGACGAGGCCAAGAGCTTCCAGATGTTTCAACACAAGGAGGCCAAAGTAAGTGCTACTCTTACCTGTGACGATGCAAATGCTCACTGCAGCTCAGGGAGATCAAGAAGGTGATGAGAGCAACCTGCAGACTTTCTGCCAAGAATTCTTGGAAGGCAAAGGAAAGCACTTTTCCCCTTACGTGTTAAAGATCCAGGAGAGAGTCAGCTGGGAGCAAGTGGATAATTTAAATAGGTTTAAATAGGATTCTGCACCACAGGCGGGCTGTGGGGTAGGGTAGCCTCCCTCCGATGATTGCTGTATATGGAAACCCGTGCTAAACCAAGCTCCTTGGCCAGGGTGCCACGTCTGCATTCTACACCAGGATGAAGGTGGAGCTTTTCTCTCTGTGGTTTAGCACTGCGCATGAAGATCCAGGAGAGAGGAACATTTAGGAGAAGCCCAAAAATGTTTACCTGCCACTGACTCCTATTTAGAAACAGTGGATGGGAGACCCTTACCCTCACCATCACTCATATGTAGAAGAACATGCTATGGCCAGGGAGATATCCTAAAAACTGGGCATATTTCTCTGTCTGCCTTACCTTACTCAAGGAGTTCTGGGGAAAGTACTGTCAAGAAGTCATTCTTAGGGGTGCCTGAGTGGCTCAGTCGGTTAAGCGTCTGCCTTCGGCTCAGGTCGTGATCTCAGGGTCCTGGGATCGAGCCCCACATCAGGCTCCCTCTCTCTCTGACCCTACTTCCCGCTTGTGCCCAATCTCTCTCTGTCTCAAATTAAAAAAAAAAAAAAAAAAAAAAAAAGTCATCCTTAGAAGACTTCAACCTCCTCCTGGAGGCAAATGTCCTGCTAAGACCATAAAACAATCCAATTAGAGTGAATTCAGGGTATTTTTTAGAAGTAGCAGCAGCAGCTTGGCTCTCTAAAACAGTTAACTAGGGTTAACTGACTGAGGACGTCTGGGACGAGACTGAACTGGCCAGGGTTTGGTTTAACCATGTGCAGACACTTCTGAGTTAGGAAGTTTATTTCCAAGTAAACTGGGGAAATATTATGTAGTACCCCCAAAGACTCATCTTCTGGCCCCAAGGCATGACCTTTTAACTCTGAGTCTACCTGAGTCAAGCTCCTGGGAAGTACAAGTACCAAATGCCCAGCCCAGTCCATGCCTACAAACTTCTGCAGATTTCTGTGGCCATATGGGTAATTCTGCTTTCATAAGGAAAGGAGCAGGGGGGCAGGAGAAGGAAGCGTGCAAGGGAAAAACTGTTAAATTAAAGGAAAATTGCTGGGTTAATATTCCCCATTTTCACATAGACAGGTTTTCTTTTCCCCTTTCCAGAAGCAGGTTCTCTGATTGAACAGTGCCAGCTGCAGCAGCCTCTCCTATCTCTCCCCTGAGGCCTCTCCTCCTCATAAGCATCTTCTAAGGTACCATACCGAACAGACGACTAACCTGCTATCTTCCACATAAGTATACAGATTCAGGGCTCATGTCCTATTATTTCCTGTGTTATTACCAAATTCCTCATAAATGTGTTTTTACTATTTTTACTTACTCTTTCTAAATCAATCAGTTCCTTAAGCCAGACGTGGCTATAAGTCTGAGTTCTTGAAGAGAAGGTGAAAACCCAAAGAATCTTTCCACTAAGTAGAGTCTGCTTCCTCAAGTATAATCAGGTCAGATGTGGGACTAGAACTAACTCTTCCTGGCCAGGGTCACTAGCTCACTGGTGGCTTCTCCCTCCTTCTTCTTCCCACTGTACAAGTAGCAAGACACTTTTCAGAAAGAGAGGTGGCCACAAGAGCTCCTGTATCTAATGTCTTACTTGTACCTGCTACAACAGAGGAAGGGAAGAATTCTGAGCTCGCTGCTTAGCTCTCCCTCATCACTTAGTTGGAATTTAGTTTCCTCTTTTTTCAAAATGCAAGAAAAGGCCAGTGTGAATGGCTTCCAAACTACTTCTGGGGTTGCCAGGGGATGAGGAGCACTGTGCCAACAGTCAGTCATCAAAGTCAAACTATCTGTGAACAGGAAGCAGATGCAACTCTGACTTTGAAACAGCATGGTGGGGTTTTAAAAAAAATACTTTGCAGTTTAGTGTTACCTGGTGCCTAATAGCAAGACCTATGGAGAAAATCTCAGGCTGCTGCTTTTGACAGAACAGGAGCCTGGATGGGCAGGACCAGTAAGGAGTGTACTGCTGTAGTGGAGGGCTGTTATCAGAGAAGCACGTGCCACTGTTTTAGAAAAGAAAAAGAGCTGGAACTATGGAACTATCCAAGCTTACATGCCACCCAACAACCAAAACACACCACCACACCGCACCTATGGCGACAGTCCCATCGCAGAACAGGATGACACCAAGTCACAGTGAGGGAAGAAGCTGGGCAGACACAAACTTAAAACCATAGAGGTGAAGGCAGCTACTCAGAGAGCTTCAAACAGATGAACAGAAGAAATAAAAAGTAGTTAGATTGGGGAGAGAAACAAAAATAAAAAGGCACCAGAGAATAAATCAGCAAAAGGATAGCAGGAAAACCTACTACAAAATTAAAGGGGGAGGGAAAGAAACAATTCAACACTACCCTGGCTTAACTGCCTGGTATTTTGAGTTTTAAGTGGTTTTTTGAGCCCCCCCCCCACCCAGTTGTCCCTCCCCACCTCTTCCCACTGCAGATGATTTTGGACAGGCACGGATTTCCCCAAGTTCTTTGTTCCTGAGGAGAAAGACACAGAGAAGGGTTGGGGGATAAGGGAGGCAGAGAGGACGGCAAAGGAAAAAAAAAAAGTTGCCACAGATGTTTTCATACACTACAATCAGAAGGGTCGTGGGTTTGAAAAAACGAAGACAATGGGAGGGGTGAGCGATCATACTGGGGAAGAGGGAAAGGAAGCAGAAGGGAAGGGTCATCGGGCCACCTCTAATGACTACAGTACTACTACTGTAGGGTGCTGGACTCACTCTGAAGGACGCTTATGGTGGCCTGGGCTCGAATCCATGTTATGGAGGGGTTTTGCCTCAAGTCATTCCTCTTGGGGTCGTTGCTGGCCCTGCACTCGTAAGTCCCAGAGTCCTCCAAGGTGAGCCGGGTTATTCTCAGCACACTCACGCCGTTTGACCCGTAGGCGGTGTTTACGGTGACACGGCGCTTCCGAGCACCGTCCCACAGCTGTCTGAAAGACTCTGCCCGGTTGACTTCTGCGTACCACCACTGGATCTCTGGCGTGGGGCTCCCGACCACGTCACAGTACAGCTCAAAGGCGTCCCCAGTGAGCTTAGTTTCTGACATGGGCGACTTGACAAACCCAGCTAGAGGGAGGGGGAGCAGGAATGCAGTGACAGGCCAATCAGAAAAAAAAAAAAAAGAATCAACAGGTGTTAATAGTAATTTAAAGAAAAGAAAAGAAAAAAGCAAATGAGTTGCAAAGAACAAAAAGGATTCATTTTTAAACTATAAAGAGACAGTAAATAGCATTTCATATAAGCTTTTAGAAGAAGAACCACCCTGGGAAGCTTATGAAGCAAAGGCAGGCTAATTACAAGCTGGGGCGGCCCAGGTGCTAGCCAGGCAGAAGCAAGCCCACTGGAAAGCGTTTTAGCAATGGGCCCGGTTGGTAGGAATCAGAAAGCCTCAGGTCTCAGGGAAGAGTCTTTTTCCTTAGAGCACAAACCATTACCTTTTCAAATTCAGGCAAGCAATGAAAGATAACCGCAAGCAGCAGTAGTTCTATATGCCAAGTCAGGATCTCTCTTTTGGATGGGTGAACACTTCGTTAGAGATGCAATGTCTTTTGTGGGCCTCAACAAGAAATATTAACTGACCTAATGGTGCCTTCTCCTGAGAATCAAAGTCCAAATTTCAACCGAAAAAGCAGCATATTTCTCTCTTGTGCAGGAGTCCATCCTGAGTTTGGGATGGACTTCCCCCCACATCCTGTTCTCCCCTGGGTCTTTGGCAAACAAACGGCCCAGCTGGTTGTGACTAGGTAGCCTCTACCTGAATGCAGACTTTCAGGCACAAGAAAACAAGACAGCCTGTACTTCAGAGTGAGAATTACTATGGGTGTCAGCTCAGCAGTAGAACCAACAGCAACGGCAATCCAGCTCATTGCCAACAGAGGGACTATGCCTTCCACAATTCCATGAGTTCATAGAACTAGAGAACTCTCCTGAAAAGTCAGTCTTAAAAATAACCATGGTACTTGACAGGCTCTGTCTACACAGTTTACTTGCCTAGCTCCCAGAGGCCAGCTCATAAAGAATAAGAAATATGTAATGATGAATTAAATTCTATGGTGAAGGCTAGGCCTCAACAATATTGCCAGGCATTGTTCAGGAATTAAAGTTGATGCCTACCTCCACTTGTCCATAATTTGCTTTAGGTTACACTCCCATAAGACAAGGTGGCAATGGCAGAAAGAGAGTAGAAAATCCAGACTTAATTGAAGAACTTGGGAGTAGGATCTATAATAAACTAAATCACAGCGCAAGCATACTCTCTCTCACCCATTTACTCCACCTAGGGTTCATCAGCACTTCTACCAATTCAGGCAGTATCCTAAGGTACAGGGCAAGAGCGGCTGGTCAATTTCTCTGGGGACCAAGCTGACCCCTCTGGAGTGAGCAGAGTGGGGCCAGGATCTACCAACATCAGATTAAAAACATTCCAAAGGAAAGGTATAAATTAAATGGAACAGCTTTCCTACAGTCCAGAATCCAAGGATATAAAGGAGCTGGCTGAAAATGGAGGTTACTAAGTGGAGAATTTTCTGTTTATATCCACAGAAGTACTTGCCTTTGGAAATAAATTCCACCCCATGGACCTGAGAACCCTAAGAGAGGTACTATACTTACTTAAGTAAAGGACAAGACCTCCAAATTCATACTAGTCTTTCAATTCATAAAACACTGAGAATCTGGGGAGGACAGGAATCCAGTAATCAACAGCCTCAGACTAAATGTTCTGCCTTGAAAATGCTATTCTAAACTACCTCTTCAGATCGTGTCAGTTCCTTGTAAGGAACCATCTACCAGAGGCCCCAAGAAGCCAAAAAGATGTCACTCTCAGATGCAGGGGAAGTTTCAGAATTTCAGAAAGGAGACACCAATCCCCAGCAATGAAAAGCTGAGCTCACTTCCAGGTAAGTGGTAATCAAGGAGCCGTGTCCTAATTTCACAAACTGCCACCTGCCTACCCGTCAAAGTCAATGCCAACTAATATAGAAGGACAGGTAAAGGAAGCTGGTTCCATTCATTTTACTACTGGTTTAATCACCATGGAAAACTGGTTATCAGTAAATCCCTAGGAAGCAGTAAAGAGCAGTACTCTGTTTTAATCACACTCTCAATCATTAAGTGTAAATTACAAAAGCTCTTATTCTCACATTTTCTGTAAACTGGGGGAGTTTATGTCTTCTCAAACACTGTGATTATGCACACTGTCCTCGACTTATGATGGGGTTACATCCTGATAAAGCCATTGTAAGTTAAATTATTTCTAAAGCCGAAAATGCATTTAATACACCTAACCTACAGAACATCACAGCTTAGTCTAGCCTACCTTAAACATGCTCGGAGCACTTACACAGGCCTACCGTTGGGCAAAATCATGTAACAAAACAACTACTTTGTAAGTGTTGAATATCTCATATAATTTATTGAATGCTAAACGGAGAATGAAAAACAGAATGGCTGTATGAGTCCGGAACAGTTTGGTCTATTGGTTGTTTACCCTCGGGAAAGCCTGGCTGACTGGGAGCTGCAGCTCACTGCTGCGGCCCGCAACCATGAGGGAGGAAGGGCCTGCGAAAAGATCAATATTCAAAATTCAAAATATGGTGTCTATTGAATATGTATCACTTTTGCACCATCATAAAGTTGAAAAGTTTTAAGTTGAACCACAGTAAATCAGGGACCATCTACTTGATCACCCTCTAGAAACCTGTTAGTGGGTTTGTTTTGTATTTTGTCCCCTTCTGAAATGCAGGCTGACATTTAAGCCTCTTTATCAATCTACTGACTATGCTAATGTAAAAGGAATGCCTGCAAGTATGTCCAGAACCCCAAGAACCCAACCAATTCCAGTGTAATCTCAAATCCCAACGCTACACAATTCAAAGGTAGCTGAGAAACAGCGTGAACACAATTCCCACTGCACAGAACCAAGCAAGTCACTCAACCTGACACTGCCACCCTTGGGCAAGACTCACTACTAAGGAGGAAGGAATGCTGATCTGATTTAGTTTAATTTTCTACCTACACACAGGAAAATGGGACTAAGTCAAAAATAAATGTTCTTTGAATTAGTAAATTATATGGCATATATTTAAATAAACATCTAAAAACAAGATTTAAAATCCCTTAAAACACTAACAACAGACATCTACGTGTTCTTTGAAAGCTATTATTATTTATTATTAGCCATGTGCACCAACAGGTAACATTTTCTAAGTATGTGTTATGTGTTAAGAGACAATGTGCTAATAAGCACTTTGTGTTACCTCATTTAATCCCCACAACAGTCCTATAAGATAGGTGCCACCATAACACCCTTAAAGATGGAAACTAAGGCCCAAAAAAGTTAACTACTTTGCCCACAGTCACAAGCTAATAGTGAAAGAGTCTGGCCTGAAATCCAGATGTGTCCAAAGCCAAAGCATGGTCTCCTAATAACTTTGCACAACTGTGGTCAATATCCCTTACTAAAATAGAAAAAGGTTTTAAAAATTAAAGATATTTTTTGTCACCACTTAAATGTAATTAATTAATAATTTCTGACTACAAAAACAAGGACCTGTCCATTGGAATGTGCAGCACACTGTGGTCACTAACTCCTTAAAATTATAATCCTAGTAAAGAATGGAGATAGAGAAGCATTGGATCAAAGAGTTCCCCAAGCAAGGGGTGTGTGCGTGTGCGTGTATTGGGGGACAGAGGGGAAAAGTGAGAAAACAAAAGAAAAGATGGTTCAAAAGCAAGATTGCCCCCTAGTTCTGATGATTTCATCACCCTGCTCTTGAGAAGGCTGGCTTCATAGGAGGGAAGAGTTTAAAAACATTAGATGCATTTCTCTGATACTGTGGTCAGTGGGCAAATTAACAAAGGGCAGTACCTAAAATTTTTATAAAACTTAACAGTTTACAAAGTGCTTCCATGCACATCACATCGCATTTCATTCACATAGTTTCACAAGGTTCATAGGGCAGGCACAGAGAGAGGTTCATAACTTGCCCAAGACGGCTCAGGTAGCTAATCTTGAGCAGAGATGGGATCAGAATGCAGGTCTTCAGCAATTAGTCTACTGTTCTTCCCATTAAACTGTACTGCCTCTAACCAAACCAAGCACAGGATTCCTTGATAGCTGAACATGCATCAAAAAACCATGAAAACAAATCTATTTCTCCTCCTAGAAGCAGGGAAAAGAAAAAACAAAAAACCTCTCTACACAGTATCGTGAAATCACAATTAGCAAAGGAAAGTTATTAGCAATCATCTACCTCATTATCCATCCAAAATTAGCTACAGTTCAGGAGAAGAGAAGAGCCAGCTTGCAGCAGCAGCAGCAGGAAGAGGCAGACAGCTCAGAGCCTGACTCACTGCCCTGCCTTTCATCACCAAGGGCTCTCAGTCAAGTATGTGCCCTCAACATAAGAGGACACAACTGCCTGAAGTTGGGAGGCCAGCAGAAGGATCTGTTTGATCTCCAGGTCAAAGCCCATCCAATATTTTGGAAAAAGCCAAAATTTCTGAAAAAGAGCCTCCTACCCCTTCCCCACCATCATCTCTACCCACTGTAACATGTAACGAGGCTCAGATCTCAAACAGGTTTGAGAAAGTGCATTCGGTTCAACAATGATAAAGGAAGCTGAAAGGTGGTCACAGGTTTGGGGGAAGGGAGAGACTAGAAGCTGGGGTTGGAGGAGGACAGCAAGCACAGTACAAAAAAATGACAGTAAAACCGGGAAAGCAGTAATATAAAATTGCATAACTGGGGATGGGGGATGGGAAGCGAAGATGACAGCTGGGGCTAGCAGCCGGAGAAAAGGAGGAGCTCTCTGGCAGGAAAAACTGGATGTGTAGATATGTAGCAGCGGGTGAGAAGAAAAAGGGAACACAGAAGAGCAAGTTGAGCCCAATCCCAAGAAAACCGCTTTTACATATGCCCCAAGGAAGCAAAAAAGCTAACCTAAGTCCCACACAGGACCTGAGACCATCAGTGATTTTTACAGCTGAAATTCTCACGTACCTCCAGGGCAAGCTCTGAACAGGTAACAAGACTTAACTTCTCTCCCCCTCTCTCTCTCA